GGGGGGGGGGGGGGGCGGGGGGGAGAGGGTTGCAGGTCACTGGGGTAAGTCTCCCCCACCCACACACCCTCCCCCAATCCCTTTACGCTCACACTGCACTGGCCACTCGTGCACCCCTGTGCACCCTCTCCGACCCACCCTCACACATCCCCTTGCACCTTCCCTGACCTGCACAATGCCTCTCGCACACCCGTGTACCCTTCCTAACCAGTGCGGTGCCTCTTACCCTACCCAATTTGTGCTTCTTGCACACCCCTTTGCAACCTTCCCACATGGCGCCTCTTGCATATCTCTTCACATCCTCCCTTGATCCCTTGCGCACCCCCCGGCACCACACCTCTCACGCACCCTCCCCCACACCCCAGTTTGCCTGTGACTTGCATTTTCCCTCCAGCTTCCCCACTGACTTTGGTTGTGGGAAGCCAGCAGGAAGTTGCCTTGCCTAAAGACAATGGGATTCAATTAACAATGGCAACCAGAACTGCAGGGATTTACAACTGCATCGCTTAGCAATGGAAATTCCTATCCCAACTGCTGTCATAAGTCGGGGACTACTTGTTCTATTTAACAGTAGAAAAGGAAAACCTTGTACATTAAAAAGGCTACAAGGTAGAGGGGACATGTTTTCTTCTGGGTAACAAAGTAACATTTTTGTGTCTGTTGCTTGTTTCCATTCTCTCATCATGTTGCATCTGCATGAGCTGGTATGTACTGTATTGTATGCACACTCTGCTCTGGATCGTGTGACTGGAAGAAGAGCTTAGAATGGAGTAGTCACGAACGTTCCAAGCCACTTCAAAAATGCCTCTCCTCTATGGATGGACAGGAATAATTTTTTCCCCCACAGTCCTGACCAGATCCAGACTTTCTTTTGTTGGCTTCTGCTCCACCTGTCATCAGATCTGGTCAAATTCTGTTCACATTTTTTTTGTTTTTTTCATAATAATTTTATTAAAGATTACAGTAATACAGATAAAAACTAGTACAAACTACAAAAAAATCCAATGAGAAGGAAAAATAGAAAGTGCAGAGAAAAAAAAGAAAAAATATAAAGAAAAAAGAAAAAGTAAAAATATAGCAAAGAAAAATAAAAGAAATTTATAAAGAAGTGACTTTCCCCTTAGTCACAACAAATATAAACTATTTTAACAAATTATCACCGTCTCTTAAAATACAACAAATGATCTCTCCTTCCATATCTCATCTCTTATCTATAAATAAATCCTTAAAGCCTCACCATTCAGTCCTGGTCAGCAAAAGGCCTGCTGACCAGGGTCTGGTCTTGAGCCCCAAGGGCCAGAACACACCACTGGTATAACGCATCCGGGGCATCTTCTCCTGAAATGGCCTGCCCTCTGGCTTCCATCATACCACCCCATGCCCATCACCACCTAAATACCCGCCCTGAACCACCCAAGGTGGTCTTCCCCCCGCCTTCCTGTCCTCTGACTTAAAGGGCCCACCATACCGTACAGCATACAGGGAAGAGGGGGAAAAAGGGGATGGGGAAACGAGCCCCTGCGGCACTTCAGCTAACTGCTCTCAGCGCCGACGGGGGCTCAATCACCCCAATTCCCTTTTCTCAAACACTCACCCCTCTCTCCGCTGACTTCTCTCACTGGGCGGAGAAAGGAGGGCCACATTCACTCCTATCCTCTCCCCATCTCCCACCTGGCCAAAGAGTAGCATATTCATCTCACAAGTACACACCATCCACCCACATACCCCATAACCGCTCAAGTCCCCCATGCCTCTTCTCTAGGGGAAGCCCCTTGCCACTTAGGGGCTAAAACCCACAACCCCCAAGATCCCAATGTCTCTGTGGGCTTCAGGTACTGTGGGCCCTTGGGCTCTGGCCTCTGCTCCACCATTGATCCACCTCAGCCTCGCCCTCATTGCCGCCGTCCAGCCACCGTCACTGTCACTGCCAGCACTACTACCGCCAAAACCAGCAGCGTTGGGCTTGGACCCAGCTCTGCTGACATTCCCGGCCCAGCTGGACCAACTCTCGGCTCTGGCATCACTTCCCTCGAGGCTGGGAGTTGTTCTCAGCTCAAACGGCGCAGCCACGGTAGCCACCACCAACACTCTCCCACCACCACCGCTGCAGCCTCTGTCAACCCCCTAGGTCCAAGCGCCACCCGCTGCCACTCGCCCCCGTTGCCCACGTCCTCTCCTCTCCGTTCTCGGCATCGTCTCAGCCGCTGCCACCCCAACTCTCCTCCCTACCGCGACAGCCCACCTCAGAGGTAACGCTGGGGGTTCTCTTCATTCACCCCACATTCACATATGGGTCCCATGCCTCCAACTCTCCTAAGCCCCATATTGGCTATGGTTAAAAGCTGGTTTAGGGTGGTTATGGCTGGGAGCTATGCACTAGGCATCCACTCCCTGTCACCATCTTGAATTTTCAGTTACATCAATAAATAATACATATCTCTGTGGGAAGGAGGATTGTTTAAACTTGCCAAAGAGGATGGTTGGCTGACTGCTAAACAAAGAGATAAGTAGAGAAAGAAGGGACACAGGAAGTTGGGAAAGATCATGTGATTACAGATGTATGGAGTGCCAAAAGGGACAAAAGAGTTAAGAATATATGTATATATATCTAGATATCTAGATATGTAGATATACTATACACACACACACACACACACACACACACAGAGTGTATGTATCTGTGTGTGTGTGTATAGTATATCTACATATCTAGATATCTAGATATGTAGATATACTATACACACACACACAGAGTGTATGTATCTGTGTGTGTGTGTATAGTATATCTACATATCTAGATATCTAGATATGTAGATATACTATACACACACACACAGAGTGTATGTATCTGTGTGTGTGTGTATAGTATATCTACATATCTAGATATCTAGATATGTAGATATACTATACACACACACACACACACACACACACACAGAGTGTATGTATCTGTGTGTGTGTGTATAAAAAAATAAGACACTCTTACTTTTTACTTCTTTCTGGATTACAAATTAGAAAAGAAAAATGGTTACTACTAGAAAAGCAGTGAAAATTACAGAAGGGAGGAGAGGATCACTTACAGAGGGACAAAAAATAACAGAAAAAGAAATTTGTTTGAAGAATTTGGCAAGAATGTTACAGGATTAGTAACTGCATTAGTGACTGCATTAGTTAAAAGAGAACTGGATATGCTTCAGGGGAGAATGTAGGAAAGATTTGCAAATATGGAAGAAAAGATGAATACAAATTTGAAGAATCTGTAATACAGATGAGTGGAAAGCAAAATGTCACATGACTGCCCTGCTTATCAACAGCAGTTCTGGCAGCCCCAGCTGCAGTTGTTAAGCAAATCACCCGCAGTCATGACTGCAACTTGCAACCTCCTGCTGGCTTCCCCATTGATACTGCTTGTTAGAAGCCAGCTGGGAAGGTCACAAATGTTAATCACATGACCGCGGGACACTGCAACCATCATAAATGCACAACGGTTGCCAAGCGCCCAAAGTGCGATCATGTGACTGCAGGGATGTTGCGATGGTCATTAAGTGCAAGGACTGGTTATAAGTTACTTTTTTCAGCATCGTTGTGACTTCAAACAGTTGCTAAACAAATGGTTGTTAAGCAAGGACTACTGTAAGTTTGTTTGTAGCTACTGCAAACAAGATCGGAAAGTTGCTTCTTTAATTATCTTTTTTTTTCCTTTTTCTAATTGTACTGCTTTTTACACTTTCTCTTTTCTCTAATTTTCCTTTAGATATTTTCATGTCTATCTTTTATCTATGTAAAAATCTTCAATAAAAATTATATTAAAAAATTAATTTGAATCTCCAACATATAAATGGCAAAAATAACAAACGTAATTACCTTAACAAAGAATCTTTTATCTGTCCTGGTAGGGTTGTAAGAGGCAAGATAAGCAGCTATTAGAAGAAACTTGGAATAATATGGAAGTTCTACATGAGCATAAGCTGAAAGTCCTAGAAAAAAAACCCAGCAAAACAAATATTGAATCTTGACAACCTTAAAAGCACATGTTAAAAAATCAATTCAAAACTTCTTGCCCAGAGCTTAGTTGTTTGGTTTTTTTTAAGCTACTGGTATATTTATAAATGCTTGCTTAGTAATGGTGGCTGATTTATTCTAAATTACAGGGCTACTTTCATCATCAGTAATTTACACAGCAAAACTATAGTTGCTACACATACCTTTTACTTGTCCAGATTCTTCATTATCTTGCTGTAATCGTTCCCACTGGGAGCTAAAAGGCAAGGTAGCCATTTAGAAGTATTGTGTTTGCCATGACTAAACGCAAAGGATTTTTACGTTTCACTTTTAACAGAAGATGCATTTGGGATACCTCAGGATTAAAGGAGTAATGCAGTTCAATTGTTTAAGAGCATATATGCAACAAGAACAATACTAGATTATTTTACCGAATAGACAGATTGACAACTAGAGATAAAACCAGGTGTTATTTTAAACATTTTCTGAGAATGTTTCTTCATGATGTTGTCATGCTATTGTTCTAGGTACAGTACAAGAAATTTCATCCAAACATACAGCTGCCCTACTATCTCAAAATACACATGTTCAGCAGGGAATGGTTCAGAAACAGCTTTGCTAAGTTATTCTACAAATTATATAAATACTACACATGAATCAATAAGCTTTTCCTTCCCTAGAAGGAAAAAACAGAAAGACAAAATGAAATTCATCAGCCATGCTCATGGATTTCACATTTCAAAATGTTTATTATTCAACATTACATGTGATACTTCCCCCCCCAAAAAAAGTCTCAACATAAATTTATATCAGGAAATATTAGCAACAGATTTCTGGGTACAATTCAAGGTGCTGGTTATTATCTTTAAAGCCCTTCATGGCTTGGGACCGGGTTACCTGAGGGACTGTCTTCTCCCAGTTGTTCCTACCAGTCCAGTTTGGTCCGGAAGGTTGGGCAAGTTATGGACCACATCAGCCAAGGAATGTTGGTAGGCAGGGACTAGGAGACGTGCCTTCTCCACCATAGCCCCTGCTCTCTAGAACATTCTCCCTTCAGAGATTAGGATGACCCCAACTCCGTTAGCCTTTTGTAAGGCCTTGAAGACCTGGCTATGTGCCAGGACCTAGGGCCCCAAGTGTGTTAAGGGCCCTGTTTCCTGGCTATATTGACATCTATGGTAATAATTTTACTCAGCGATCATATATATTTATTTTGTATTGGCTATAACTGTTTTTAATTGTGTTATGTTTTTATGATTGTCCGCCACCCAGAGTCGCTTGCTAAGATGGGCGGCTTTAGAAATGAAACAAACAAATAAATAAATAAATGAGGAATGAATGAATGAATGAATAAAATAAACAGATGTTAATTAAAAGGTTCCTTTGAAGTTTGTTACTGAATATAAACAGAAGAATGAGACCAAATATATTCACTACCCATTTTCCTATGGAAAACCAAAAACTTTCTTCAGAAAAGTACTTACAAATTATTGTTCTTTGTCAGAAGAAGATATATACCACCAAGTACGATGATAATTTTGTCAAGAGGTCACTGACTCAATGAAATTTTAATGGCAGGGTAATGGTCTATACCAGTGTACATGCTAGCGAGGAAATACTGGGAATTAAAGTCTACACATCTTAAAGTCACCATCGTTGAAAAACACTGGTCTACAAACAGCCATACAATGACCGTTCATTTAGTAACCATCCAAAGTTACAACAGCACTAAACAGTGACTTATGACTGGTGCCCGAAGTTACCACCATCGAAGCACCTCCATGGTCACATGATTGCGATCCGGGCACTTGGCAACTAGGCTCACACAACAGTTGCAGTGTCCCAGGGTCACATGATCGCCATTTGCAACCTTCCCAGCCGGTTTCTGGCAAGCAAAATCAATGGGGAACTGCATGATTCACTTAATGACCATCTGATTCACTTAATGACTACCGCAAAAAAGATTGTAAAATCCAGTCACGTGATTTGCTTAACGACCGCACTGCTTAGCGACCTAAATTCTGGTCCCCACTGTGCTCATTATGCGAGGAGTACCTGTATTCAAATGGAAATTAGAAGCATCACTTACAGCTTAGCTGAAAGCTAAAAAAAAGAAACCCTTACACAAAACTGGTAGGAAAGTTGCATCCTTCCAAAAGAAACCATCCACAACCAGCTTTTGCTCTCAGTTGCTTTAGAAATCTACACTGGAGACCAAGTATATTGTGTTTTAAAGAGGAAGCACTTCTGCCAGGGCTCATTGGCCTCTAGGTATCATGGTTAAATTCCTCCTCAGAGGCTCTTTTATCTGACTTGTCCAAATTATTAGCTTACGTTTTACATATTTTTGAGTGCACAGCCCATTGTTGTAGACAATTTTTCAGATACAGCAATTTATTTCCACACTTGTAGTCACCAGAAAACAAACCTGACTTAAATGAATCTTTGCCTTTTATTTCTCTTACAATCATATACATTAGGGTTAAATTAGATAGGACACAAGAAGATTCATGTGGTCTTTCCCTCTGCCATACAGGGGTCTGAACCAGATTGTAGGTGTGGAACTGAAGGGGATGTTCAGGTTCAGCCTGGCATCACTTTACCTTTCACAGGAAAGGATACAGGTAACGCACATCAGTATCAGTGATTTTCCCATAAAGAGCAAATGGCAGCTTCACAATGAGCAAGTATAATTCACCTGTACTCCCTCAGCATTTTACCACTACCTACAACTGCTTTTAATTAGAAACAAACACATATAAGAATCCTTCCACACCTCATGTCTTCCCTATCACTTGAATATTTGTATATTTTTCATTAATAAAAAATAAACTGTTACCCATATTAAGTAGAGTTTAAAGAGATAGGACACTCGTAATAGTTGAAAAAACCTTCCATATTTGATGTTTTACATAAGCCTCAAGAAGTTGCTGAAAAAAAATAATAAAGAGAAGGGACAATTACCTTGAGATTTCTCGAAGATAGACTGTTTGCATAGCTTTCTTCAAATGGGATTCAATGTTTTTCCATAGTCGGCGTGTGTCACGTTCATTTGCTATGCCACAGAAAGACAACTTAATTTGGGTTGACCTCTGAAAAGTGTTCAGCTATATAACAATTATTGCTGACTTTATTCAAGTTTTCTCTGACTCAATGCCTTCCACACATTCTATCTTGGAAGTTCCAGAATACCTAGCCAACATGGCTAAATTAACTTCTGATTAAGAATTCTGGAAGCTGCAGTCTCAATACATCAGGAAAGTGCCAAGTTGGGGAAGGTTACAATAAATTCTGAATAATTTTATAAAACAAAAAATGGTAATCTCAAACCACAGAACACTCAAAGCAAGAAAGTTTAGTTGTAAATCAAAGATTTTTCTGTTATGTCTCCATTATTTTAGTTGAAAAATTCTTTTCATGGCTTTCTTTATTCCAGAGGTGGCCAGCATGTGATCTACATGAGCCTCCCAGGCCCAGCAAAGACTATAATGCCAAATTTTGCAGCAAAATGACATTAATAGTTAAGATCCAAAGTGTGAACGGTAACAGCTTATTTCCCAGAGCCCTTCCGCTTCCCACATGTAAAGTAGGTAAAGAATAACTTCAGTCAAGCTTGGCTCTTGGTGACTACAGGGACATTTCCATGGAGTTTGATTGTCCATGATAGGAAATTGTCACAACCTTCTTCTGGGATACTTCCCACATAGCTTACTGCCCTTTAATTTCTGGTGTAATTTTTGTCGCCTATCAAACTAGCATGTATGTATGTATCTATGTATTTTTAATATTTTAAATGAGGTCCAACCTCTGGGAGATCAGCCAAGGTCACAATATATGCTGCCACATGGCATGGTGTTTACATTAATGTCCTCTCAAAACAAGGTGAAGATTTCAGTTATGTCCTTCCAAAATGCAGCTATTAAGGTCACAAGGCAAGCTGTGGCCTCTGACTCTTCAGAAGCTACTTATCATTCCTCATTCCTTGATTCTCTGTTGTAGACATAACATTGGCTCAATAATCTAGCCATGGTTGAAATACTGAGTGCCTGAGAGCTTATACATTTCTTTTATCTACTCACCCTCTCCTCACTTTCTGGGAACATGGAATACAGGTAGTCATTGCTTAACGACAGTAATTGGGACCAGAATTTCCATCGTTGAGCAATGCGGTTGTAAATTACATCATATGACTGTGTTGCTTAGCGATGGCAATCCTGGCAATGCCCACTGCTGTCATTAAGTGAGGATCTCCTCACGACCTCCTGCCGGCTTCCAACAAGCAAAGTCCGTGGGGAAGCCAGCAGGAAGTCTCAAGTCCCAGGCAGCTTGCAAGCAGGCCGACAGGTAGATAAATGCTACTGTGGTGCTGCGTGAGTGTGGCCGGGCAAGGGGTGGCTACTGTGGAGGGAGGACACACAGGTGGCTCCCATGGTGCTGCACAAGGGTAGGCAGGCAGGGGATGGCTGCCACCTTCTGGGAGGGTGCACCAGTCACTGCCACACTGCACAAGCACAGCTGGGCGAGAGGTTGCTGCTGTCAGGTGTGGAAGGGTGTGCAGGTGGCTGCTGCGGCACTGCACAAGCACAGCCAGGTGGAAGGGAGTGCACTACAGAGTGTGCGGGGCGGGGGGGTGCTGCAGGGCAGGTGTACACTATGGAGTATGAGATCCCCAAGATCTCATACTCTGTAGCCGGGCTCCTCGGGAATAAAAATGGCAGGAGCAGAACCAACTTACAGGAGTAACTCGTGACCTTCCCTGCTGGCTTTCCCACTGACTTTGCTTGTGGGAAGCCAGCAGGGAAAGTCACAAATGGCGATCACGTGACCGCAGGATGCTGCAACAGTCGTAAGCATGAGCCAGTTGCCAAGCACCCAGATTGCAATCATGTGACCCCAGGAGTACTGGGAGAGCCAGAATTTTGAGGACCGGTTGTTAGTACCACTTGTTCAGTGCCATCAAAACTTCACCTACCTGTACTTTTTCAAGCCACACTTTAAAATCTTACTGCTTTAAATAAGATTTAAAATCATACTGCTACTTTATGAAGATAAAGTATTTTAGAAATAACTTGATTCAGTCATAAAATTACCGAGATTCACATAATGCATATAGAGTGTGGCTGATTTATACATTTGAAAATACTGTACAAATATGTTCAAGTAAACTTTTTGCAACAAAATATCACCTCAGTTGGAACTCAGTTATAATGCACACTGATTATGAATATATAATGAATACCAATACAGTGAAGGTAAAATTGAATGTACTAAATTCACCACTCTTTATGTTTTTGTAAAGTACTAGTCAGTGCTTTTTTGCAGGTCCTTTATGCTGCTCTGCTCTTTTGTGGATCTCAAAGGGAGATTCATAGTGCCAGGAGTTCCAGCTCCAAAACCTTTCAGCCTACTACACAAGAATGGCAACTGGATTTTTGTTTTAAATCTAATTTCTAGAGTATGAAATGCATTACCAGCTACTCTTCCCCACCCATGGTCCTGAGGCCCTCAGTGTGCCAAGAAGACAGAAGACCACATGACCTGTACAAGAGTTAACAAGACAGCCAAAAAAATATGACCCTGAATTTTTCTTCTTCCTCTTGAAAAACTGACAGTAAACTCTAAAAGCAGGAATGCATCTTGCTCTTGCAAGTACTGCTTACCCCTAGGAAAAAAACTATAACAATCCTGAGTAGTCTCACTGTGCACATGTTATAGAGTATTTTGAATAATCTTTTAAAAACATTGTATTCACTGTTCTCTCTACAGTAAACATTGATTTCTCAGTAAATTATTTGTAAAAGAAAACTTTTCCCCAAAAAATAATTAATTCTTAAAAAAAAAAATACAAAGGTTGAAGGAAGTTTTTGGTGTTATTCTGGAACTTCTTTCCTTCTCTCTTTTCATTTTTGAGCCTGAGGAAGCATTTTTTGGGGGGGCTCAGGTTTCTAATTAGTGTGAATCAGTAAGTCACATGACCATGAAGAAACAAAAGAGAATTGATGTTCAAATCACACTTCTAACTATGGTGGCAAAGTGTGGTTCAGAAAATAGATATAGTACACTAATTATAATACCCTTCAAAATTTGAAGACAACTTCTGATTGCCAAACACAATTTGACAACTGGGCAGTATTACTTCTGCATCAGGCTGATTAGAAATGTACAGCCATTTAGGATATGCTTCTTATAATCTAAAAGGAGATGACAAGGCAAAATTCATTCATATGAAAGCATTCATATGAAAGTAAAATACTCACCCTCTCCTTGGACCACAGGCTCACAATATTTAGAAAAATTAAGTGCAGCCTATAAGATAAGAGTACAAGGCTTATTTAGTGTCATCCTATGGATCCTAATGTTCCTGATAATTGAAAGAATTCAGACATTACCATCTACTTCCCTAACCCAAAATAACCTGTTATTTATGCTGGATAAAATTTATTCTGGATAAATAAAATTAGAGAAAATGGTTGATTGGTAGTGGAGTCTGGAAGCAATCCTTATTGGCATGGACAAACTAGATAATGCTTAACATTCCTAACTAAGGGGGTCTTAGATGGGGAAAAAAATGTACAAACAATGTATCACTTTCCCTTGTGAAATAATTTCTAAACAAGAGTTGGGAGCTATGGAATGAGAAGAAGCTCATCTATCTTTATCATTCTTGGATGCCACGACTGTATATTATCAAAAGTTACACAGATTCTGTGCTCCCAGTAATTCAGGTGAAGCATAGTGGTATAGGTTCAAATGTGTGATACAAGAATTTAGAGCCAAAACTAAAGCTAGATCGTATCAGATTTGTCTTAGCAAACTCCTTTTGGGGCATTTAACCAAGATATTTTCTCCTGCAATATCTATCAAGTACTTAGCAGCAACTTACAACTAAATTCAAGATTCCTTCAGAGGCCTCTTTAACCAGATTTACGAAAAGGCAAAGGAATTAGATTAAAAAATCTTGGCAAATGGATATTCTTATTTTAGCAAACAATTTATCTCTTTGTTCATTAGGATGGAGGTTTCTTGATCCTCTTACTAATCACACACTGATGTACTGGGAAGATGGCTAGTAATTTTTCTGATAAAGAATGTGTAGATATTCTGCACTTGTAGTATTTTGCACATTACCATCCTCTTTCCCAGGCTTTGAGAAGTTGATTATAGTATCAGTCTCACAATTACAATGCTTCTCTTGTGTTTTGGGTGAAAAGTTTCTTTGCTTTCTTCCAGAAGTTTATACCTCCCATCTCATAAGAGGCTGGTTAGAGCCGACAATCACCAAACCAGTCACTGAAGTGTCCAGGGTAGGAACATGCCTGATGGTGCCTGCTTAACACCTGTTGAGGACTGCATATTCTTAGATGCTATTAACTAAAAATAATTTTCACTATGCAAATATGTACCTCTGGATAGTTTTACATAGGGATTGGGATTCCGTATTAAAGTATAATGATTCCTACTGATGGTATTAATCTGAATGTTCTAGGAGCAGGGCTAGAGATTGTACTGACAGCTACGTTTTGATTTTTTTTTAAATGCAGTATCAGATAGCTTAAAGGCTACTTCACTTTCCATTATGACTCCTGTCTGGCCTCAGAAGTTTTGATGAATGGATCTGACCATTATTTTACCCATTACCTTCTACAGCACATACAAAGGATTCCAAATCTATTATTCGTATGGCCTTGTGTAGAAGAAATGACCTTTAAACCATGGTCAAGAGATCAGAACTTAGCTTTCATATACAGTATGCTTTCCCTTCTGCTCATCCTCTTGACTCCTTAGATTATACCTGTATTAAGCATCGTCAACAATAACTAAGAATTAGAAACCAGGTTGAAAAACTGACCCTAAAAAAAGGCAAGGAGATTGCTGCTTCATGAAGTGCTTCATTTCTCTTGGGAAAGTGCAAGTCTTTCTAGTTTCAGTCTATCCAGCTACATCCACAGTATTTGCATCCCAAGAAACAAATAAAATAACCAATGAAATGTTTATATATGACAATCCAACAATTCCAAAGCCATCAGCAAAACAGTAACCACCATCTTTATTATGAAGAACACCAAAAAGATCCCTCACCAGATGTTGGAGTTCCTTCAAGTTCCTACAGACTGGATAGAAGACTCCAAGAAGAATATTTATATATGCAGCATAAAAATCAAATGAATATTCTGGAGGATGGTCGTGGGACAGAATCTTCTGCAGATGTCCTATTTGAATTTTAAAAAAAAGCAGCAAGATTTTCCTCTAAAGCTGATAAAGTGACTTACTGCATTGTTTTCAGTGTTAACATTCAGGAGATATCACACAGAATAACATTTTTATATAAGGCCAACAAACCTGCAGTTATTGTCATTTTGCAGAAAAAAATTGGCTAGCTCTAGTTAATCAAGTAACATTCCAAGTATTAAGGAAATGATAGGCAATCCACGTGATCTTAATTAAGGTCAAATAGTCAATATCATGCCTTCAATTTCCTTATAAATATAATTCTCTTTGAATAAAACATCTACCACAGTTCCTTCTTTTCTATCGGATACCCAAAATGATCAAAGTAATCTCCTAAGCCTCAAGCAATGAATCTACCTTTTTTCAACATCAGGTAAACATTTTATTACCATGCCCCTTAGGGTTCTTGTTTGTTTGTATGCTGAATATTAATTGCCAGACATATTAACATTATTTGTTGATTATCTTACATTCACATTTCACACTACATGTTTATGTTTTTCTTAGTCATTCTGAGAGGGATGAGTCACTAGTGGAAAATAATATGCTTCTAATTAATAAATAAACTGCTTGCTATGATGCCCGTTAAAACTTCTGAAATAAATGGTGTATTTGAGAACTTTAAAGTGAAATTAAACTGACAAGCTACAATGAGTTCACACTCAGTGAAACTGCTTTAGAATCTCCAAACTAGTAGCAAAGATTCTTAACTACTCTGATTTTATTATCAGAGCCCCCAACTGTAATAGTATATTTAAGAGACTGTCATTGAGAGCTACAGAAAAGTTAATATTAAATGTAATAAGAAAGCTGACGTCTGTCAGACTTTTCTTTCTATTAACCATCACCTGGCAGCAGGCATCCCATTAGGCTACAGCTGAGAAGGGAATCAAGATCCATCCACTGGTTCAGCTGAGAGGCAAACAACTTTAGACCCCTTCTTTCTGAGCTGCATCTGATCCAGTCACAAATTAAAAACAACTTTTAAATTAGAAACTAATGCACATTTTCCCTGTCTCTCACAAATGCCTTTTCACTTTGTGCTCTGTCTTTTATACCATAAGCTTCAAAATCAGAAATTGACTTATTATATATTTCCGTGCATGCTCTGTAGACTTTTGGAGTGGAAATGCTTAAAAAATATTATCTTTAAGGAATTTCCTTGTTTTATCATGAGAACTGTCCACAGGAAAGGAGCCATATTTTAAGAAGTGAATATATAAATTATAGAAATGATTCTGCAGTTACAAGAAATTAAGCCTGTGATTAATTATTTAAGTATGCTAATAAGTGAAATATAGAGCATACGAAAATGAAGTCAGGCAAAATGTACTACTAATTCATGAAGCCACTCAGAAAAGACAGAAACACTGATATGGAAGAAATCAAAGGATATTAAAAAGAATTTAAGAATGTTGAATGTGACAAGCCTATAGTTGCTATGGCTTTGATGGTGGTTGATCATGTATACCCACATCCATGCAGACCCTGGGATAACCCAAACAAACTCTGTACTGAGTCTGTATTCACTTTGCTGATAATTTGCTGGGAACAGACAGTAGTTCAGCTCCTCATAGGACATAGTTTTCATACGAGGAGGAAGAGGAGCAGATACAGAGTTGGCAGAAAGAAGGATATCTTAAAAACACCCAGGATGATCCATAAAGATCACAGAAGATTCTGGGCAGAACTTGAATAATGGAGGATTTGGTTGGCAGCTAAAGGTACTATAAAACCAAAGGTGCTATAATGACTAACATGGACTAGATAATTCCAGTGATGGTTTTCAGCCTTGTGATGTAGTCCAGACAAGAAGCATACCCAGAATTACAAGTTCTAACTTTATTGTAAGGTTACATTAACAGAATCTTGCAAGTCTGAAAGTACAGCTCTTCCCCTTTATAGTCCAAGAAACTAGAGAGGGTCCCTTCTGAGATGCTTGCCACGTCCCCATTGCTGATGCGGACTAAGTTGCCTCTTATCTAACCACTGTCTAGTCTGCGGCTCTTCCTCAAAAACCTCACTTTTTTCTATTGTCCAATTTTTTCTAATCATCAAAACCACAAATCATAAGTGCACTTTTTTCCATTTCATGCAAAAAGTTTATAAGGGGTTTCCAGTCAGCCATAAATGTAGCTATTGTTTCTTCTCTAATCAAAGAAGTTAATTTAGCCATCTCTGCAAGTTCCATCATCTTCCCCAGCCATTCCTCCATTGTGGGTAGTGTCGAACCTTTCCATTTTTGTGCATATAATAGTCTAGTTAATGTACATACTTTTATAGATGTTTGGTCACTAAAATATAGTACATATTTATATAAACACTTGGTTACTAGAATTATTGTAAACACACTTTGAACTAAGCTTATATAATACAGGTAGTTCTCACTTAATGACGGTAATTGGGACCAGAATTTCCATCACTAAGCAATGTGGTCGTAAAGCTGTCATGTCGTCACGTGACCATGCTGCTTAGCAATGGCAGTCCCGGCAGTCCCTGGTTACTGTTGTTATGCAAATCACCGCAGGTCATTTAGCAAGGACCTCACATGACACCGACTTCCTTTGCTTGTAGGAAGCCAGTAGGGAAGGTCACAAATCGCTATCATGTGACTGTGGGACACTACAATGGCCAGGAGTTTGAGTACTTGTCGTAAGTACCACTTGTCAATAGTCACTGGTTGTTAACCGAGGACTACCTTTAATAAACATAACTATAATTCACTTGATAGATCTGTGTGTGTTGGTTTAGTTCCTATCTATCCTCACACTCCAACACCCTGCAACTGACCCACATAGTCTAGTTCACAGAAATAAGATATAGATTATCACAATTAACCATCTTTGATAGACACAGCAATAAGGTTATATACAGTATGTTTACTTGTCCTTACCTATGCTGTAATCTGGAAAATATAATGGCAATGGCTCAAGGCATCCTGTGTTTGGACGAAGAAGCTCCCACACAATTTCACTAAGGAGAACCACAGTCACGTTTCTCTCTGTCTGCAAGTGAGAGGTATTGTAGAAGAGAAAAGTAAAAATGACCTTGTAGTTATATTTTTAATCACAGAAGAGTTCAGGTTTTACAAAACCAAAAAAACTGAAATTAATCTGATTCAGCATTTACTTAAAATTATTTGCATAGTGAGAAGTCCTTAAATAGTTTAATCAAGCAGCTAACACTTTTACAAAATATAGGTTTCAGGATTCTGTTTTTCTGCATTATGACATTTATGTTTCACAAAGATAAGTATCTTAATTATTAGGGAGGGTAAATTGATTGCATTTGAAAAATAATACTTAAATCATTAAAACTCATACTATGCATATGGGCTCAAAGCAACCATATCATTCCCAATCTGCTGTCTTTTTATGTGATAGTGTGGATTTAACCATCTCTAATAAGTTTTACAACAGTAAAATGTTAATATTACTCTTACATTCAGGGCCTAGGCTTCAAGGAAAGCTGGTCTCCTTTTCACATTTTGCTAGAAACCATGGGATAATGATGAGTTACTACTTATAATTTATCAATAAGGCACATAAATTATAAATGACAATATGGAATGGAATGAAAAGGCAGATCAAAATGGAGATAAGCTGCTGCATTAAAGCATTCTTCCCTCAACAAAATCTGAGCTTCAGGAGAATACATAGTGTTAAATACAGCTGCTTTCCCATGAGGCATGGGCCAGGTACAGATAAAGGATTCTCCCTCCTGACATGAGCTTTCATGCATTCTAAAATGTTGACTTTAATACAAAAAGAATGCTGAAAATACCACTGCAATGAACCATTGAAAATAGGGCAGAAATACACATGCAGGAGGTGATAATGGAAGGGGAGCAAAAAGCAAAAATCCCACCACATGTTCCTGATCTCTAAAGCTTCACGGTTAACAGAAACCCTGCCTCCTATAATTACAGGTGTAGAATTAGAAAACTTTGACCTACAGAACTTTATACTCCAATTAGGGGTTTTGTTTTCCTTTTTGGTCTAAATAATTGGAGGGGAAAAGATTTCAAGCTTTTTGACACAGGAAAGAACTATCATAAATATCTGTAAGTAGAAAGATCTAATGTACCCCAAGATGTTTATTCTGGGTTTTCATTATTAACATCAGAAGGCTATTCTGGATAGCCTCAAAATACTTCACACAACACACTGACAATTAAAAATCTACAAACACAAGTTAAAACATATAAAAATGTAAAAATGATGAAATTGTGTTTAAATAGAATGAAGTATTACTTAGGTAAAAGTTAAGCACAATAAAAGAAGCAATCGAACACTGTAGGCCAATGGAAAGAGGTGCATTTTTAAATCATTCTTAAAGGTCAGTGTGGATGGCTCTCCCCCTATTGCACTGGAAAGGAGTTCCAGGCAACCACAGAGAAAGCATGGCCCAAGCAGCCTCCCCAGATAATCCTAGTGGGCAGTCAGAATCTGATTAACACAGTACTGAGAATGAAAGTACTCCCAAATGCCTTGAAAGATGCAGCCATGGAACAGCCATGAAACAACAGCTTAAAAAACTTGACTGGTCATAAAAAATTGAAACGAATTGCTCAAGAGAATAAGGGCAGTTCAAGACTATATGGCATCGGACAAAATGGTTTGACCACTTTTTCATTGGTCCGTAATCATATCCTTCCACGTAACTGGAAACTGTGGAGACACTTCTATCATCAACAAATTTACAATAAGCTTTTCTAATCATTATCCTTATAGCCTTTTTGGCCATGGCACCCGTCCTTTGGAATATCATTCCCCCTGAGGTCAGGTTAAGCCTGACCTTGCTGGCATTCTGGAAGGGCCTGAAGACATGGCCTTTGCCATCTGGCCTAGGGATCTGGGAACATGCGTATGGAGCCTGCAAAATGGCTGTATTGCTAAGGAAATTGAGTGTACTTTGCCATAGATTATGGGGTTTTTAATGAGTTTTAATGGCTTTTATTTTTTTTAATGTTTTTTTTAATGTTTTTTGTTATTTTGAGGGGTATTTTGTTGAACTGTTTTTGTGTTTTTAAGTTTGTATGCCACCCAGAGTCACATACAGTGGGGCAAAAAAGTATTTAGTCAGCCACCAATTGTGCAAGTTCTCCCACTGAAAAAGATGAGAGAGGCCTGTAATTTTCATCATAGGTATACCTCAACTATGAGAGACAAAA